AGAGAGAGAGAGAGAGAGATTGTGCATGTGTGTGTATGTCCATGTGTGTCATATGAAACCCATAGGCAGGTCAGGCTAGGCAAGCTCCCCTCATGATAAGCCTCATGCCTCAGAGACTTATGCAGATGATGTGATGGACTGAGTTATTGTGATGCACTGAGTCGTAGCCTTCTGCTATGGTGAGTGACCTTGTCAGGCATTTACTCGGGATATACTGTTGCTATATGTTTGTTGATTGGATTGTTCATATTTTATTCAACCTGTTTACATGCCAGTTTTTCTTCCACAGTGCAGTACGTTTATTTGTTAGTATTCTGCGTCCTCAGTGTGTATAAATGGACCATTTTGTTGTGCTATTTGCTGTTAAAGGCTTTTGAGAGGCTGCAATTGTTTTCTTTTTTCATGCATTTTAAGATGTCTCACATGCGGACTTATGAATACAATAGATTTTCAATTGCCCTGTTTTCCCTGTTTTCATTTACAATGCATGAAATAGCTAAAGAAAAAAACAGCCATTCAGTATATTCATATAAAATTGACTTGTAGCTATTTTCTTTGTGTGTGCTGGCATGTGATTTGAAAACCTGACTTCAAGTCGCAGTCGACTGTTGTAAATCGAACTGTTTCAACTGAATGCAGACCCAGTCCTTGGAGGATTATCTTGGAGCTCTAGCTTTAATTTCACTGCTACGCTGGGTCAATTAGAGTTTGTAATTGTAATTCCACTCATTTAGAGTGTTTGATCGCTGCTGTTGGAGGGGAATTGGGTTTAATTAATTTGTCTCACTGTCTGTCTCTTTGTCTCTTCTTCTCATTCTTTTCTGGCCTCCTATCTGCCCTCCCCCTTCCCCTTTCTTTTTCCCATTCTGTCTCTTTTCCTCAGGTGTCTGGCCCAGTGATTCAACCCCAGACAGGAGCAGGAGAAAGCAGTAGAAAGCAGGGCCATGGGGGTGAGCCTGGGCCAGGGTGTCGGCTGGATCCTGCCTTTCCTGTTCTTGCTACTGATGATCACAGTGTCACCCAACCAGGGTCAAGCATGTCCCCAGCGTTGTGACTGCATTGCAAAACTCAAAACCGTGTCCTGTTATGGTAAACGCCTGTCCGCACTGCCAGATGGCATCCCACTGGACACCAAGATCCTGGACCTAAGTGGGAATAAACTTCGCTGGGTAGAGCACGGTGACCTTCTTCCATATCAACGTCTTGAAAAGCTGGATCTTAGTGAGAACATGATCAGTGTCCTGGAACCAAATGCTTTTTCAAGTCTCCAGAACCTGCAGTCACTTTCACTGAGGGGGAACCAATTGAAACTGGTCCCCATGGGGGCTTTCTCACGTCTCTCCAACCTTACTTCACTGGACCTCAGTGGGAATAAGATTGTGATTCTTTTGGACTTTACTTTCCAAGACCTGAAAAGTCTAAAAAACCTGGAAGTTGGAGACAATGATTTGGTTTATATTTCCAACAAAGCCTTTCTGGGTCTAGTGGGCCTGAGGGAGCTGACCATTGAGAGGTGCAACCTGACTTCTGTCTCCAGCCAGTCTTTGTCCTACCTCCATAACCTGGTGACTCTGCGGCTCCGCTACCTCAGTATCTCAACCTTAGAGGACCAGAATTTCCGTAAGCTGGGAAACCTGAGGGGCCTCGAGATTGATCACTGGCCCTTTTTAGAGTACATTTCCCCTCACAGCCTACAGGGTCTAAACTTATCTTGGCTGTCTATTACGCACACCAATATCACCTCTGTGCCCACATCTGCCCTACGCAGTCTGGCTCACCTCACCAGCCTCAACCTCTCCTACAACCCTATCTCTGTGTTGGAGTCCTGGGCACTACGGGACCTAGTTAGGCTGAAGGAGCTGCATCTGGTCAACACAAACCTGGTAGTAGTGCAGCCATATGCGCTGGGTGGTTTAAGGCAAATCCGCCTTCTTAACCTCTCCACTAACAGCCTAGTAACCCTGGAGGAGGGAGCCTTTCAGTCTGTCAACACTTTAGAGACGCTGCGCTTGGATGGGAACCCTCTGGCTTGCGACTGCCGCTTGCTGTGGATCCTTCAGCGCAGGAAGACCCTCAATTTTGACGCCGCTTCCCCAGTGTGTATGACGCCCGTTGAGGTGCAGGGACGGGCCCTTAACGCTTTCTCTGACTCGGCTCTCTTTGATCACTTTACTTGCCAGAAGCCCAAAATCCGCAACAGGAAACTGCAACAGATATCTGCCCGCGAAGGGCAGGTTGTGTCATTCATTTGCAGAGCAGAAGGTGAGCCGACACCAGTGATATTCTGGATCTCCCCTCAACGCCGCCGCATCACCACAAAGAGCAGCGGCCGCCTAACTGTGTTACCAGAAGGCACATTAGAAATACGGTATGCCCAGGTAACAGATAGTGGAACCTACATCTGCATAGCCAGCAATGCTGGTGGAAATGACACCTATTTCGCCACCCTTACAGTTAGTGGGTTGCCACTAGATGCAGCCCTTATGGCCAACCGCACTTACTATGCTGGGGACCTTAATGACACAAATCTGAATGACACCAGAGTCTTCTTGAAGTTTACTCTGGACCTCAAGACCATCCTCATATCCACAGCTATGGGCTGTATCATGTTCCTGGGGGTAGTTCTCTTCTGTTTCATTCTATTGTTTGTGTGGAGTCGAGGGAGAGGGCAGCACAAGAACAATTTCTCAGTGGAATATTCCTTCAGAAAGGTGGATGGACCGGCTGCCAGTGGAGGACAGGGTGGGGCACGCAAGTTTAACATGAAAATGATATGATTATTGGGATCTGTTTCTCTCGTTAGAATTCTTTACCTGATACTGTTTACAGGCAGTCTCAAGCTAGGAAATAAAGGGACAAGACACTGGATGTTTGTGCTTGCAAAACACTAAATACAATTATTTATCAGACATTTTATTGAGACAAGGTTTTGTTATTGAAACTACTGTATATAGGAGAAAAAGAGAAATCTGTATGGATTTGATATATTTCTACAGCTTTGTCATGTGTTCACATTATTGTGCAGAGGAGAGCTGGATTATAGTTAAAGATGTCTCAAAATGTTGAATAGACTGTTCAAAGACCAAGCAACAAAAGCACTCAGAGTCCCACCAGTCTTTAACCTCTACAAAGCTCTTGCCAACTCCATCCTTCTTCCCTACAAGGAACTTTGTCCTCTTCATCTTTTAAGGACTTCACCTCTCTGCTCCGTCTGAGGTGATTCACGCTCTCTATCTCCAAACTCATGAATACATTATAACAGGGTGGTGCTCGATGAATGCCAAGGACTTGCCAACATGTATTTGAATAGTTCCAGCTATATACTGCATATTTAGACTCATTTACAGTCAGGACTTTAGAGCACTATAACAACATAAATATAGAAGCTCTGCTTTTAGTAGGTAGGTTTGTACAGATTACACTAGACAGAGACTACTCTGCAATACTGCCAATTTGACCTTAAAGCACCATGTAATACCAATGTCAATGCAATGCCGTGGTAGAGAGTTACATCTCATTAAATACCACTAAAAGTTGCTCAAAGCCCTTTTAAACAAAAATCGGACTCTACAGGTCAAGCTACTATTAAAGGACCCAGTGCACAGTTGTGCACATGCAGATGCGCACTTGCTAGTTAGGTTTTCCATTGTTGTCTATTCAGTACACACTGTACAAGACTCTTACCCTCTTGAAAAAAAATGTATGTAAAAGATGAACGCATGTACAGAGTTGGCTTCTTACTTTGAACAATGTGCATTATTTGTAAATGGAACATTTGTTGGGGTGCATTTATCCCAATGTTGAATAGACCATACTGTATAGGTAGGATATACTGTATAAGATGTATTATATATTTTGTAATCATTGACATTGAATTCCTTGTGGTTGTTTGTAGTACTGTTGAGTGAGTTTTTCCGTTAATTCTACTGTTAAAGTATCTTTTTCATATCAGTGATTTCCAGTCCAGAGCATTTACAGTTCTCACCTTATCATCAGATAGATCTTACACTGAAACATGCCTGATCGCTCCCCAAGCTCACACGACAAAATCATGAAGGGCGTTTACATCAGGTTTCAGTTCACTTGCCTATTTTTGGCTTTAAGGGACAGTGGGGAGGCTTGGTTGACCAGCAGGGGGAAGGAGTTAAGTGGGTTCTCATCAGGATCTTGCTGTGTGAGGCACGCAGGGAAAAATGCTAATGTGATAAAGACCTTGCAAACTGGAACAAAGGTCATAATGAAACTGAGCCAAAGAAGAGAAGGAATTGAGGTATTCTAGGAAGACTTATTGACACTGTAATCCAAAGGATTGGACTTAATATATGCCCTGTAAGATAGCTGTATTGTTAAAGCGGTTATGAAAGTGATTTCAATATGATTCATTCAGCATTCAGAAAGTTAATCAAGTGTTTTACCATGACAATGGGTGTTTCTGTATTCCCTCATACTGTTTATTCATATATTGATGAGTATGGTTTCTACTAAAGAGAATGTAATTCAGTGTTTTTTGCAATCGTGGCATTTGACAACAACAAAGACATAAATGCAAATGTGTCAGTTTTAGGCCGTATACAGCATCTTTGGTAGTTTTAGTACTACATAAATACCAGAATAAATACTTCAGACATAACTGAGAGAGAGAGTGATAAAACAGGTGAACTGCCTAGTTACTACTCTAACCTCAAGGTTTATCTCTTGATCTGTGGGTCAAGCCTTGGGTACCAATACCACCAATTAAGAAATCAGCACTCCCTGCAACTGCTGCAGCTTTAACAGTGTTGCTCTGCTGCCCTCTGTTGGCTATAGACTGTACTGAGTGATATACTCTTACCAGAGCAAGATATGTTTTAACCTCCCCAACCTTCAAACTTCATACTAAGCGATTTTTTCCCCCAAAGACATATGTGAAGATGACCTGGACCCAGTCTTACTGAAAGTGAAATGAATTCTTAAATGAGGCTAACTTAACTTAGCAAACTCCCTCCCCTCTTCTGCAGGTCAGAGCAAAAAGACTGAATAAAGAGTTTGTGATCATCAACATATACAATGTGCAACACATTTTACAGACTAGATTTATAACTCACAATATGGAATTATTCATAATTAACTTTGAATATGTTACTGGACTGATTTGACACCAGTTAAGCTAATTGATGGTATTTTTCATCGTCCTTTCCTGAATCCATCCTGTAAATATGGAAATCATTGTGTCTGGAAATTGTGCTAGACTGTTTTGTATTGTATTATTTTATAAAAATGAAGCACACTGTTTATAAAGCATGCTATATTATCTGCTACAATGATGTCTTGTCCCCCGTCCTATTTTTTATAGCCGTCATCTGGTCACTCAACCCTTATGGTGGAAGACTGAGAGTCTACAAATGAACTAAGAGTCAACAATAAACCTGTGACCCCGTCACTGTGAAATTTTGTGTTGAATTTTTATATTTCTTTGATGTTTTCCCAGGGGTTTTCCATATTTTTATTTAAAATAGTCAAGTTAAATAAGATAGACCGATGCCCTATCTTCATTACACATAAATATATACGACTTAGAATAGAGTGTGCTTGTCACAGTTCACTAATAATATTGGTATTACATATACTATACAGGTAGTGTTATTATTGTTTATTATCTATGCATTCAACTAAACATAAGTTAAAAATAAAATGTATTAATTAGCAGATGAAATAGCTTTACATTCACACTTTGATGTGTTGTTTGTCATAGGTCAAATTGAGTCATTTAGTTACATGGCTCAAATTATTTATTTTTATTTAATAACTGTAACTTATTTAACAAAGCCCCTTTGTTATTCAGTGAGAAAGGGAATTCATACTGTACTGTTATGACGGTGCTGTAAAACTGGTATGCTTATAATAATAATATAGATTATAGTATAATATTTAAAGCCCCCCTCTACTCAAAAATTTATGAAGCTTATCGTTTGGTGATGAACGTTCTAGACTTTGACACTGTTGGCTGTTTTAAACTTCAAATGCTGCAAAGGGAAAGTTTCTCTGTCCTCACCTTAAATATGAGTCATTGGTCTAAGACCAAGGTGTTAACTACAGGGGAGCCAGTAGGATATGAGCTCCCCTGGAATCCTGATCTGTGAAATTTTGGGAGGTTTCTAAAATATTGACAATATGCTCTTTTTCGCCATGCATTTCTGGTTTTCTGTATCTTTATCACCATGAATCGTGTAAATCGTGTGCTATTAACATTAACATGTTAAGTGGCAAGCCATACCAAGATAATTTCTCTTCAAAGCATAACAGAACCACCGGGCCCATCAATGTGGGGGTCAAGCATTCATGCCTAGGCTATCTTGGTGTTCGCCACAATTGCATCCCACCCACTTGTCAAGAATATGGTGAGGAATGACTCATCTGACCGTAACACTTTTTTCCCCCACATCTCTGACTATATGGTTTTAGCACCTCTGTTTTTTCTCATATGTGTTGGACTTTGTAATGAGTCACTTCAAAGTCAAAATCATCTGGGCCTTCTCACCATTGTTACACATGTCTGAGATCACAATGGGATGTTAATTACTTCACTGAATCATGCACTACACATGTATGAAACCATTTGCAGATTCTCCACTCATTTACTCAGGTTTCGCCTATAATCTTTTACCCCTTTGTATGCAAAAAGAATAGCAAAATAGCAAAAAATAGCAAAAGAATAGCTCTCCTTGGTTACCACTTGTAAGATGTCTCAAATATTTTAAAATTGCTAGAAATATCTAAACAAGAATTTCCTGAAAGCTGCCATGATGTAGATTACAACTAAGACTAAGAGGGTGAGTTGGTTTCTACTTAGCGTGCTTTGCTCACCATATTCTTGCCATGAGTCACTGATTCTGCATAATACTCTACTAAGGAAGGTTGTTGTTGTAAATTGTCTATGCATCCCTCAAAATACAAGTTGCAAATAAATAAATGACAGATAAAAATAGCTTTGCATTCACACTCTGATGTGCTGTTTGTTTGTCGTACAGTAGCAAGATATAGTAATTATGCCTGTGAAGAGTGAGACAAACACCAGGTACTACCATTTGCACCTGAGTTAGACCTTATGCAAAACCCAAGTGAAACTTAGATTAGATCGGGAAATGATTACATTACATTTTACTAGAAATCACTGTTGGGTTATGTGTTTTCAAGTAGACTTCAAAGTAATACACCTGAAACTCCCTCCTACTTTGTTAAGAGTTGACTCTGTGTGTCTATGTCGAGGAGATGTTATCAACATGTCACCAAGATTTCAGATGAGCCACTGAAAGATGTATCACCAGCCGAGCGTTAGACATCAACACCAGACTGTGAAATTACACCATTAAACATTCAGGTGGGTTATTCAGTTAATAATTAATTTCATTAACTTGAAGTAGACAGTGGCAGTAAAAAGCACAATGCTCTGAAACCCTCCCCTCATGTCTGTCTTTCATTTGGTTTACAGAGGAAATGATGTCAGAATGCACTATAACACACAAACACTTTACTTCTGCTTTACCAAAGCTATTTGTAGCTATACCATGGGAACATTGATGGGTAATTGAAGTGATGTAACGCAGTGTATGTGTGCATGTGTGCAAGTGTGTGTGTATAAGGGTTGTGCATGTGGGTAATCATATGTTTTGTGTTACCATGGTATTGAACCGTGGTGGTCAAAATGGGATTGTAGTGGTTAGCAGTTACTGAACAAACAACGAACTTGTCTTCTTATCCGGAACAGTTCATACACAGTAAACTATAGTTTACTCATCTATGTATTTACAGTAGTCCTTCCTCAGTTTCTTATTAGGACATATACATTAACCATACTGTAAAAAGCCAGTTTCTGTTTTGTTTTTGAAGCCACTCCTCATGCTTGCACTGGCTGATAATTCAAACAAACTCTGATCAGACCTTTTCATTTTAAAGTTGTATGTTACATCAGCTGCAGCTTGATGCCACCGGGAGTCCCAGGTTTATCTAACTCTCATTATGATTTAAGTGTGTCAGGATCAAGATGACTTGAATGTCATGAACTTACCAAAGATTCATTTTGGTTTCTGAACTGTGTGAGTACCTAGTTTCAACCCACATTGGTGACTGCTGACGTGTATTAGATTGTTGTTGTAGTAAGGTTGCAGAGAGTGAGAGAGATATTGTAATTAAAATGTAAGACCAAGTACTTTTGTTGTGTAAGTAGAGGACAATGTTCCATCAAGATCTGATTCATGTTCTCACTTCAAAGCCACAAAAATGCTGAAACTTGCATTAGACCTTCACATCCCATTAAACTGTGCATATACTCTGATATGAACAACACACAGGAACTGAATGATAGAGCAACAAAAGGCATACTTATGACTATTTGGAGCTGTAATATTAATATCTGTCAGTGGAGTGTTTTTAACAGTAATAACCCCGAATTACTGGCTTAACATTATAATTCTGTTCAATAAGGAACACAATGTAAGGGCAATGTAACAAACTGAGGTATAGTGTTTGTATGAAGTAATAACCTTTCTGATTACATGTACCAAAATAAGCCAAAGTAAGGCCATACTCACATTGTCTGGTTTAGTTTGACCATGAAAACAGGAAAACAAAACATTCAAAGTCTGCACTTATAGACACAGGGTGGCAGGGATATATAAATAGCATGTTACCTTATTGTCACATATTGCATTTATTCATGTAGTTTATAGAACCAGTAACCATAGGAAGCAGGTCTGAAACACCACTAAGACATAAACAGCTGAACCAAGATTGAAGTGGCAATCTTTATTGTAGAAAAATGTAACTCCTATAATATATATACAAACAGATTAATCACAATACATACTGCATGGAGATCCCCATCTCATTTTAACAGTATCAAAATATTCAGCAGCAAAGTGCAGCAGAGACCTACAACCTACATGTTCTTTTGGAAACTTATATATTCTTAGCTTGCTTAAAAACAGCATATACCTGGGTTGGAAAAGATTACTCATCAGCTAGCTGAGCAGAACTGAGACACAGACACATAGTTATGTAATACAAAAGTGTTGGCGAAGGGCTTAAAGTCGATTGTAAAAGATAATATGATACTGTAGCTTCATTAGGTGACCAGGTGTCCCACTTTGTGTGGGATTGCACAACATTTTTTATCCATTGTCCCATGTACTACAGACAATGTCCCACATTTTGACTGGCTCTAGTTTTCAAGAGTGAAATCACTGCAGGGCAGAGATCTGACTTTTATCCAATGGCTGTGAAGAAAGCAGGGAAAGCTGTCGTCACAAGAAATATAAATTCTAACCTGTTACCTGCATAGCCTACTGTGTGCTACTGGATAAACCAAAGTCAAAGTATAGAGATGTTACGAGTTAAGGAGCAATAGAAATGTCTAGTTAGATAGACACTATATGAAATTTTAGACTTCCTCTCAGCACTGGTAACATCAAATTGTCCCAAACATAGTCTTTGTCCCACATTTGATTTGTTGGGATCTGGTCACCCGAGCTTGATGTAAGATTAATTTGTGTAAGAGACAGAAAATATGCTTATGTAATGTGTGTAGGCTGCTAGACAGCTTAAGAGTGGTTCCCAGCCTGGGAGTCGGGAACCCCACTAGGGGTCGCTAAGGCTTGACAGGGGGTTACAAGGCCTTCCTGATTTCAAAGGGGGTGAGAAAACTTAAAAATATACATTTGTGCATTTGTATGAAGAAAATTTGATGAAATTATTGACTTTGATAAAACATGATTGTTTAAAAAAAACAACACACAATACAGACAGAGAAAATCGGAAAACTCATCTCAAATCTCAAATAATGTGCTCGAAATTCATCCAAACTGCTTTTTACACAAACGTCCTGCAGTTATTGTGTGCTCACTGTTTGTGTTCATTGTACAGTTTACCAGTTATTTCTATACTGTTAATATCTATAAAATATGTTTCTTAGTAATAATAAAAAACAGGTTAAATATACTGTAAGCCCTTGCTCACCGCACTAGCGACTCCTACTGGTCGGTTGGGGCATAGTGGGGGTGAACCTGACCTTGAAGTCATGACCAGCCCTGCTCTGCCTCTGATTGGCTAGTACTCGTTGCCGTGATTGGTTAGGATTAGGGTAAGAATGTCAGGGTGAGCCAATCAGAGGCAGAGTAGGGCGGGTCATAACTTTGCCATCCTGGGAATTAAAATATCTCTGTCTGAGTGGAGCCAGAGAATGTCTAATAAGGAGAGAAGTTCCACTCTCGGTACACTTCCGGCTTCTGAACTGTTGCAGTTCCCCTAATTTGTTTTGCTGTTTTAAACACCACGCCGAAAATATCTTATTCCGCTTCGGATGCATGATGCCATTCAAAGCGGGGGATCTCTGGCGTAACTCAGGCCTTCAACTGCCAATCAGCGTTCATTAGCAGAATGCTAGCGTGTTTATGGGCAACAAACAATCAACCTGTAAAAATCGAAAGACATAAGTACTGCTTCATCTTCACTTTCGCACTCATTGCGATCGCCCCAGGGAACTCTGGTGGAACTGCAACCAAAATTCGGTACAATGGTACTTAATAGGGAGTGGC